TATGTAGCTCTAAAACCAACTAACAACTGACTTTTCAGGAAGTGAACTGAACAACTTTTATTTAAATGTAAACAAAACACTTTCTAATCACAAGCTCTTCTTGACATTTTCCAATCATCCTTCAAAACACAGGCAGATGTTACGAGTGTATAGTAGATTTGTGGAAAAACAAGTTAAAATGATGAAAAATGCAATTACAAGCAGCTGGACTTTTTTGTTTCAATCATTGAACACTTTTCTTATTCGTCTTATAAACCAGAGTTTCTCATATTACTTTATGTGCTTCATTACCTAATGTGAAAAATAACTCAAAAATGCATGTATAGCAAATGTCTTGTTTGATAGAATTGACCAAACTGGTACTTTTGTAACAAATCATACACCTAATTATGATAAATAATACTTATAATCTTACCATTCTTGTTTTGCAGTCAAGAGATCTCACACAAGATGAGATAGAAGGTAATATTTTTACATTTTCTGCTGTTTTGATGATGTACTTTAGGATTAATATTTCTCCATTACCCTTTTATATGTGTGATTTGTAGAGTTACGAGAAGCCTTCATCGAGTTTGATAAAGACAAAGATGGCTTCATCACCTGCAAAGACTTGGGGAACCTGATGAGAACCATGGGCTACATGCCAACTGAAATGGAACTGATTCAGCTGGGCCAAAACATTAACATGAACCGTGAGCGTCATCATCAAATGTTCATGTCACACTCCATATAATTCAATAGAAACTGCTTTTAAAACTCATGACATTACTTGTTCATACTTGACCATGTAAATAAAATAATTTTGATAAAATATGTAAGAAGCTTTTATTTTTGTTTTGTTTAATTCTGTATATTCTCTATATGTCACAAAAAATACCCCAACTAACAATAATACCACAGTCCAGTAAGAGAAACACTAAATGTTAGATGTAAAAATATCTGTTGCTGGTTTTTTTTGTGTGTTTCTTAGTGGGGGGACGGGTGGACTTCGAGGATTTTGTAGGTTTAATGACCCCTAAACTTCTGGATGAAACAGCAGGGATGATCGGTTTGAAAGAACTGAAAGATGCTTTCAGAGAAGTAAGCTTAAAGGGACAGTCTGGCTATTTTTGAAGTGTTCTGTCAGCTGGGTGTCAATAGTTCGTACTGTATAACCTGGACGAAGACTTCTCTTTGTCAACATACTCTTTGCTCTATAACTGATGTCACAACTGATAAGGTACTAACTGTTCATAACTATTTGACAGAGCATCACTTTAAAAATGCATGAACTATCCCTTTAAAAAGTATTTTTATGTGTTTGCTGTTTGACTGTTTGACAGTAACAATTAAAACAAAAGTGCAAAATCTATGGAAATGTTCCAGTCATTCACATCATCCTAAAGCTGCCGTTTCTCCTTTCCATGGCGTGTAGTTTGACATCGACGGCGACGGTGCGATCACGTCTGAAGAGCTGAGGTTTGCCATGATGAAGTTATTAGGTGAACAAACCAGCAAGGGTGAAATAGATGAAGTGGTTCGAGAAGTTGACAACAACGGAGATGGAAAAGTTGACTTTGAGGGTGAGATAAAACACAAAGACAGAGAAACGTGACGGCCTCGGCCTTACGTAACCTTCTGGTGTGTCAGCGAGTTAGAGGATTGTTTGCTGAAATTACATCATTAATGAGGCTTAAGGAAAAATTAAAATAAAATACGGAGTTATGTAAAACTTTGGTTTTAATACCAGAACGGTGCTGTAACTTTAAATCATCTGTGCCGTAAATAACATTATTAGCTTCTCTTGGGTTTTACCACTTTAAAATCACAAAGCCTGACAAGAAAACATTTTGTTGTTGTTATTCTTACTCAGAATAAAACTCTTTAAGAACTAAAGCAATATTTTTCATTTTAGAGTCAAATAAGTTTTTAGTGTTTGGTCTCACAGCAGCCGTTGTATTTTTTCATTCAACCTTTATTTATACTGGTTAGTCTCAGTGAGCCTCGAGGGCTCATTTACAAGAGCGACCTGCTTTAAACAAAGAATGATGACAACAGTAGACAATCATAAAAGAAAGCATGCAAATTGAAAAATTAACTGAAGATGATGATATTAAAAAAGGGAAAAAAAAAAAAAAACATTTATAATTAAGCGATGTAAAATACTAAAAACAGGAACATGTCTGCGGTGGTTCTTGCCAGAAACTTAACAGATGTTTGAAGCCACTTAGAGAAGTCATGGTCGAGAGGTTCAGATCTTTTTGCAAGATATTCCAGGAAACAGGAGCCGAGTAGGAGAAGACACTTTTGCCAAGTTCAGTCCTCACTGAGGGAACACTGCAGGTAATAATGTCCTGAGAGTGCACGCTGTAGCTGCACTCATGCAGTGACATGTAGGAGGAGATGTATGAAGGCAGCAGACCAAGAAGTGATTTAAAGATGAAAATATACCAATGAAAGAGTCTGTGTGAAGTTAATGACGACCAGTTAACCAGTGAATACAGGGTGCAGTGATGCGTACGGTAGTTACAGCCAGTTGTGAATCTTAACGAATCATGATAGACAGCGTCCAACATCTGCAGGGTGCATGTAGGAATGATCATGTAAATAATGTCACTGTAGTCAATGGAGGGAAGGAAAGTCACAGTTACAAGGTGTTTCCTAATTCAGAGTTAAACAGGATCTGTTTCTGAAAAAGAAACCCAGTTTAACTTTCAGTTTTTTTACTAGGTTTTCCACATGGAGCTAACAAGAGAGATGAGAATCAACCAAGATACCCAACTATTTATAGGAATCAACAAACTCAATAGGAATGTCATTTGTAGATAAGATAAAAGGAAGAACTGCTGGGACCGACTTCCTGTTTGAAAACAACATCCCTTTGGTTTTGTCTGCGTTTAGTACAAGTTTGAGATGGAATCTGACTGGATGATGTCAGAAACAGATTGCAAAAGCTGGAGAGCCTTAGCAACTGTTTTAGCTCGACAAACAACTGTGTCATCAGCATAGATATCTAAGGATGCATCAGGGATGAACTGACCTAGATTACTTATGTAGAATGTGAAGAGGGTGGGTCCTAAGACGGAACCTTGTGGTACACCATTGTTAACAGTTAGATAACTGGAAGAAGTACCATTATGTTGAACACATTGCCTCTGATCTGAAAGATAATTAGTGAACCAACCAATGGTGTGATCTGAGAAACTAGCATCAGAGATCTTATAATATAAGATGTCATGATCCACAGTGTCAAAAGCTTTAGACAGGTCTAAGTAAAGTGCAGCACAATAATCCTTAGCATCCAGTGCTTTAACAACATCATTAAAAACCTTCAGCGAAGCAGTTGTTGTGCTGTGTTGTTTCTTGAAACCAGATTTTATGACATTTGTATGCATCCAGTATGGCATTTGGTTTTAAATGGTTAAAAGCTGTTATAATTTGGTTGGTCAAAATGCTTTTTGATTGTCTTCACAGAGTTTGTGAATATGATGTCGAAGACATGAGGACAACGGGATGAAGACAGGAGAAGATATGTTCTATACTGCCTCCTTGTTAAGAATCACTTTGTTTTCTTCTTATTAAAGGTATATAAGCATCGTCCGTGATAATGTTATACTCAGAATCTTAAAACAACAAATACCATTTTTGTTTAAACAAAATCAATATAAATTTACATCAAGAGTCCTAAACAGCAAAGCTCACCTATCAGGATGGTTCTTTATTTAAATATTTTTCAAGTTTGGATATTTTTCTACTTTAAGCTGTCCAGATGTGTCCCAGTGAATGAGCATGGAGAGTAAATGTTAAATGTATTCAATAAAAACGATTGCATATGACTGATGTGTGCAGAAGAAACTGCTTTTATTGGTTTAATTTCTACATCTATTAACAGAAAGCAAAAATACTGTGAACAAGTATAAATGTGTAGATTATGTACTGTGGAAGTGAGTGCCCTGGACTAATGTCTGAACTTTAAAACTTAATTAAACCAAATATATTCTCGGTTGTATTTACAGCACATGAATGAATGAAGATGAACTAGTATGCATGCTCTTTGTTCATTGATGTTGTTAAATAAATTTATATTTTGGAAACCATTTTTGATGTGAGTGTCCTTTCTCGTCAATTTTTCCTCGTATTTTTGTTGTTTAACAATTGCTTTCACAATCAAATGTGTTTTTTTTTTTACACAAAACATCACACTCATCATCAATAACTTAGAATAACTCTAACTTGACACCTTTTGTACAATACAAATTATTCTATTTTAGACATAAATATACCGACATATCTTTTATTTGCTGTTCAAAGCACTGAGTCGTTAGACAGCCACACCTATGAATCAGTTGGTCAAACACATCCACCAGGTGTCTAGGTGTGCTGAGCTCACAAATCAACGAGCACTTTTATGATGCAGCGTCTGTGCAGGGCTGGATTTGACTCACGGGAGGTTTCTCCCACGTTGTCTGGAAAACGAGGATAAAGTATATCTGAACTATTACGTTGATGAACTCTTATGGTGAGAACCAGCTAGACAACGAAACAATAGATAAAATAGATTTTTTTTTTATTATTTTGTATACAAAGTATCTCAAATTTATTATATAAAGAAATGTTTCATAAATATGTCTCAGCATCTTATAATTACTGGATGCTATCTCATAATCATGACTCAGTGACTCAAAATTATGAGACTCTGAGAGTCATAACTATGAAACTGCATCTTATAATTACAATAAGATTTAGAGGATTTATTTATTTTTTTTACTTTACAGGGATGAAAATGGGCTTCCATGCTTCTTGAGCTTAAAGAAGTAAAAAATAAAAATCTCCAATACATTTTGTTAAGACTTCATAAATATTTGATTTTGTTGCAATAAATAATCATTTTCATCACTCTGCAGCATTGGATTTGTCTTGCTAAATATATTTTGGTTCTCTTTGTCTGTGCGCCTCATCAGGAAGAAAGAAATGGTTCTAAAAGTGTTTAAGGTTTAGCACGTCACATGTAAGTGGTTAAAAAAAGTATTCAATAATGTGTGTTTGATGTGGCAACACGATTAATTAGTGTATAATTTTTACAAAATGTTTCATTGTGTAAATTATTTGTGGTGTTCTGTGTAAATGTCCTAAATGAGTAAAGTGTTTTCTGATGCATAAAGCATTTATTTGTCATTAGACAGTGTAGTTTTCATGGCACACTGTTGTAAATCTTTTTTTATTCACATTTTTGTGGTTCAAATTGTCTTATTAGTGTTTGGTTCAAGATGGAATGAGTCTTACTCTGAAGTAAGCGTTAAGGATTTCTCTTGTTCTTTAAGTTAAACATGCATCAATAGCTCAAACTCGTGTTTTATACTCATGTCCTGATGTTATATTGTATTGTTTTTCATCGTGTGTCAGCGCTTGATAGATGTGAATGTTTATGTCTTACTGTAAAGGGGTAGTTCTGACATTCTGAAGTAGCGTTCTGTGTTAGATGTTGTAAATTGTTCTTTGGAGAACTTTTGAATTTTAAGGTTCAGTCTAAAATTGTGAGAATTTGTGTTCATTACATCTTTTTTCAATTGTTTGTTTAATAGCAATACTTGATTTTTATTTAAATTTGTCCGAATTGTATCTTTTTTTTGTGTGTGTGTTTGTTTATTTTTTTCTGTTAAACTCAGTTTCAGCTCTCCAAAAATTGTGAGTTGTTGATGCAAAGGTGATTTTAAAACCCTATGCAGTCCAATTTTATATTAATCAGAGATTTACATGAATTTCTGTTCATTTAAAAACGTATTTAGCAACAGGAACAGTTAACTCTTGCATTTCGGTGGTAACCTGGAGCACCTTTTGCAGGTAAATCACAATATTTATGACAGAATACCCTTTGAATGCAAAACTGATGATGGTGAAAAGGTTCATAAAGTATAATTCACGTTAACTGCTAGGAAATCTTGGAGATTGGAGCTCTTTGGTCTAAGCTGCATTCATAGGAGCTGTTAGCTCACCTCTCTGATGCAAACTTCATTTCTCCAAACTAAAGCAAATCAAAGAAATGTCAGGTAAGATATATTTTCTGTTATCTTTTCTCAGAACCCTATTTTAAAAATGGCTGAATTATTCCTTTAAGGTTGAACATTGATATTTTCCTCTAGAGTTAATTGGTTGTGGCTAGAAGCAGAACTCTTTCTTGATGGGCTGCAGTTCTTTACATTTTATTGATTTTGTTTGCATGGAAGTGCATTTTGTCAATAAAAGAGTATTGATTAGCTGAGGATGTTGATCAATGATCTCCTAAAAACAGCTGCTGACTTTGTGGTCTTTCAGCGTGACTGCGGCGATGAGCATCTCTGTTCTTTTAGTGACACCTGGAGGTCAAGATCTCATGAGGACATGTTGTTCTGTGCTGTCTGTTGTCCCACGCTTCTGTCTCACTTGTTGTATTAATGTCTTTTGTTTGATGCCACAGTCTGCCCGCATGCATTTCACTCACACACATTGTGATATAAAGCAAAACCAACATACCAAATTTGATTTTTAATTTATAAAAACACTTACGTGTATGTTTTATGACCCAAAAAAATACTTTAATATGAGCTTGTGTCACTTTATTTTCATATGCATCCAAAATCTAAATTTTACAATAGATATTTATGTGAAGTGCTTGAATATCAACCGATTCCTGTCTATCAGTTTTTCATTTCATGAGACATGTTTCTCACAGACTTGAACCTAAATGAATCAAAAGCTTAAATCCAGCACATTGATTCTAATTCAACAAGAATAACCAGTGTCATATCATCTTTAAGCGCCAGATTGCCTGTGTAATCATGGATTTTGTTTTTTACCATTTTGTTCATTTGTCATATTTTCCTAATCCTATTGCATAAGAATAAAGCAGCATGAAAGTTACACAGGAAAGCTTAACTGTGATCATCAGGATTGTAAGACTTACATTAATGTTTCTTCTTGCAAGGAAAGATACAAAAAACCTAAATGTTTCCAGGTGCGACTGGTGACCTGCAAAGGTTGCTCTAACAACTTTTTTCAGGAGTAAGTTGGTAAACTTGAAAACAAATGTGAAAAGTAAACCTCAGAGCTCAAACACTTTGAGATAAATAAAATATCTGTTGTCCAACGAGTTAAATATCATGGAATGACATACATATGACCACATGTCAACCATCTCAGAAATAATCTGCCTCTCTGAGCTGGATTAGGTCCGACTCTGTAATCCTCGACATGGGACCCTCGGAGGAACAGATGGCAGATAAGACAGAAATCACCACATTAATTCTCATCTATCTAGAAAAATAGTCGCCCCAAAAATGCAAAACATGAACGTGATGGTTCAATTTTCAACATAATACCATTACTTTTATTAAATAGGTAATTAATGATGCTTGCCATCTGGAACTTTGTTTTAAAATATATTAGTAGATTGTTAAGGCTTTTTTGTGTGTGTGAAATAGAAACTATACATAAATTAGAAATGTAGCATTCCTGTAAGGACTTATATCGAGAAATGACTAAATCGTATATACTGGTGAAACCTTGAAAACAGTGAGCAAAGTCTCATACATTATTGCAAGATACCAAATAAAGTATGTTCCGTGAATTACTTTCAGCTACTACCACATTCAGCTCAATATCTGAAAAACTGACTAAGTTATAACTGTGTTTGTGATGGATAATGTGAATTAGCTGTGTCAGCCATCTTGAATTTGACTGAGTAGGAAAACTAATCAGTTGAAAATGTTCATCCAGTGATTAATTTCTGGATTTAATTAAAATATGCACAGCAGTAAATGAGTTGTTGTGCAAATAATCACACACACACACACACACACACAGGAAAACACAATTGTCTGCCTTCACTGCTCAGCAGCAGATGATAATGATAGTCTCACTAAATACTCATTTGGGTTTACTGTTTATTACTTTATTACTGTTTATTTGTCTTTGACCAAATTAATCCACAGCCATTTCTTTTACTGCTATCCTATTTTTTTATTTCAGGGTTTTACTTCATCTATGAACACATTTTGTGTCTGGATCGTGTTTAAATATTGATTGCCCCAAACAAAAGAAGACAATAACAATTATTCATTGATTTTATTTTAAGAATTAAAATTTGTATGTATATATACATACATACATACATACATACATATATATATATATATATATA